CTTTCCCGAAAAGTAGAAAATCTATCTACTTTTCGGGAAAGTAGATAACCAACTTTCCCGGAAAGTAGATATTTCCATTTTTTATGATACAAATTTCCGTTTTCATGATAATCTACTTCGCAAAATTAGTAATATTTCAAAAATTCGGAAATCTACTTCCCGAAAAGTCGATAACTACTTTCCCGAATAGAAAATCTATCTACTTTTCGAAAGTAGATAACCAACTTTCCGTAGATATTTCCCATTTTTATGATACAAATTTCTGTTTTCTATGATAATCTACTTCGGACTTATTTGTCCCCAACCGAACCTATTTTTGCCTCAGTGTGTGGTGTGTGAGGGAGAATATTCTGAACACCTCCCTCTCGCCTTGCATCCCACTCTCGTCTCCATCCTTCCACCCTTTCTGCTCTTTCCACCATTATCCCTCCCTCTCTCCTTCCACTTTCTTCGACAATTTGACGCACACACCTAAGCTCTTGTTACAATCTCTCTCTTACTGATATTATGAAGCTATGGTTGAGGAATTAAATGGGTCCATTAAAACAACAATAGATGACTCAGTCCTTTAATTTTATGTGGAAACATTTCGCCTCAGACCTGTAAAAAAGATGTTATCTTGGGTAATGGGGCATCCAGAGGCGCTGTCTTGATGTTGGAGTGGAGGGCTAAGAAGATACACAGGGGAATTTATAATAAAAATCTATACCTATGATAAATCCATGAACTCTTAGATCTAAAAAGACACCCAAATTAAAAAATAAATGGACTACTTATAACGTGAAGTTCATTAACTCAAAGGACTTCCGCTCAAATATGGCAAAATTACATTTTGGTAAACTAAAGAGAGCAATAGGAAATGCGATACATATAAATCTTTAACCAGTGTATCACAGTTCATCACTACCCCTGAAAAACAAAACAAGGTCCCTTCATATAAAAGTACTGTACCTGTATTGTACAGGAGGAGCAGGGGTGAAGGAAGGGGAGAGGGTGGAAGAGAGGGGAGGGTGGAAGGAGAGGGGAGGAGAGGGTGGAAGGAGAGGGGGAGGTGGGAGAGGGGAGGGGTGGAAGGAGAGGGGAGAAGGAGAGGGGAGGAGAAGAAGGAGGGGTGGGAAGGAGAGGGGGAGGGGTGGAAGGAGAGGGGGAGGGGTAGAAGGAGAGGGGTGGGGTGGAAGGAGAGGGGTGGGGGTGGAAAGAGAGGAGGGAGGAGGGGTGAAGGAGAAGGAGAGGGGTTGGAAGAGGGGAGGGATGGAAGAGTGGTGGGAAGGGAAGGAGAGGGGAAGGGGTGGAAGGAGAGGGGAGGGGTGGTAGGAGAGGGGAGGGGTGAAGGGAGAGGGGAGGGGTGGGAAGGGAGAGAGGGGAGGGGAAGGAGAGGGGAGGGGTAGGGAGAGGGAGGGGTGGAAGGAGAGGGGAGGGGTGGTAGGGAGAGGGGAGGGGGAAGGAGAGGGGAGGGGTGGTAGGAGAGGGGAGGGGTGGGAAGGAGAGGGGAGGGGTGAGGAGATGGGAGGGGAAGGAGAGGGGGAGGGTGGGAAGGGAGAGGGGAGGTGGAAGGGAGGGGTGGAAAGGGAAGGAGGGGTGGAAGGAGATGGGGAGGGGTGGAAGGAGAGGGGAGGGGTAGGAGGAGAGGGGGAGGAGGAGGGTGGAAAGTGAGGAGTGGGTGGGAAAGTGAGGAGGGTGGAAGGAGAGGGTGGGGTGGAAGGAGAGGGGGTGGGGTGAAAGGAAAGGGAGGGGGGTGGGAAAGAGAGGAGGGAGGAGGTGGAAGGAGAAGGAAGGGGTTGGAGGAGAGGGGAGGGGTGGAAGGAGATGGGAGGGGTGGAAGGAGAGGGGAGGTGGAAGGAGAGGGGAAGGTGGAAGGGAGAGGAGGAGGGGTGGAAGGAGAGGAGGGGTGGGAAGGAGAGGAGGACGGGGTGGAAGAAGAGAGGGAGGTGGGAAAAGAGAGGGGGGAGGGGCGAGAGGAGAGGGGTGGGAAGAGTGGAAGGAGAGGGAGGGGAAGAAGGGGGAGGGGAAGAAGGGGGGAGGGGTGGGGGAGAGGGGGTGGGGAGGAAGGAGAGGGAGGGGTGGAATGGGAGAGGAGGGAGGAGGGGTGGAAGGAGAAGAGGAGGGGGGTTGGAGGAGAGGGGGAGGGATGGAAGAGTGGTGGAAAGGTGGAAGGAGAGGGGGAGGGTGGAAGGAGAGGGGGAGGTGGGAAGGAGAGAGGGGGGAGGTGGGAAGGAGAGAGGGGAGGTGGAAGGAGAGAGGGGGGGGGTGGAAGGAGAGGGGGGTGGAAGGAGAGAGGGGGGGTGAAGGAGAGAGGGGGGAGGGTGGAAGGAGAGAGAGGGGGGTGGGAAGGAGAGAGAGAGGGATGTGGTGGAAGGAGAGGGAGGGAGGGATGTGGGGAAGGAGAGAGAGGGAGGGATGTGGTGGAAGGAGAGAGAGGGAGGATGTGGTGAAGGAGAGACAGGGGAGGGATGTGGTGGAAGGAGAGAGAGGGAGGGATGTGGTGGAAGGAGAGAGGGGGAGGGATGGGGGAAGGAGAGAGAGAGAGGGATGTGGGGAAGGAGAGAGGGGATGTGGTGGAAGGAGAGAGAGGGGGAGGGATGTGGTGGAAGGAGAGAGAGAGAGAGGGATGTGGTGGAAGGAGAGAGAGGGGAGGGATGTGGTGGAAGGAGAGAGGTAGGGATGTGGTGGGAAGGAGAGAGAGGAGGAAGGTGGGAAGGAGAGAGAGGGAGGGATGTGGTGGAAGGAGAGAGAGGGAGGGATGTGGGGAAGGAGAGAGGTAGGGGATGGGTGGAAGGAGAGAGGGAGGGATGTGGGGAAGGAGAGAGGGGAGGGATGTGGTGGAAGGAGAGAGAGAGAGAGGGATGTGGTGGAAGGAGAGAGAGAGAGTGGGGATGTGGGAAGGAGAGAGAGAGAGAGGGATGTGGTGGAAGGAGAGAGAGAGAGAGAGGATGGGTGGAAGGAGAGAGAGAGAGGGGATGGGTGGAAGGAGAGAGAGAGAGAGAGGGGTGTGGTGGAAGGAGAGAGAGAGAGGAGGATGTGGGGGAAGGAGAGAGAGAGAGAGGGGATGGTGGAAGGAGAGAGAGAGAGGGATGTGGGTGGAAGGAGAGAGAGAGGGATGTGGGGGAAGGAGAGAGAGGGAGGGATGGGTGGAAGGAGAGAGAGGGAGGATGTGGTGGGAAGGAGAGAGAGGGAGGGATGTGGGTGGGAAGGAGAGAGGGAGGGAGTGAAGGAGAGAGGGAGGGATGGGTGGGAAGGAGAGAGAGAGAGGGATGTGGGTGGGAAGGAGAGAGAGAGAGGGGATGGGTGGAAGGAGAGAGAGGGAGGGGAGGTGGTGGAAGGAGAGAGAGGGAGGGATGTGGTGGGAAGGAGAGAGAGGGAGGATGTGGTGGAAGGAGAGAGAGGGAGGGATGTGGTGGGAAGGAGAGAGAGAGAGGGATGGGGAAGGAGAGAGAGAGAGAGGGATGGTGGAAGGAGAGAGAGGGAGGATGGTGGAAGGAGAGAGGGAGGGATGGGAGAAGGGAGAGAGGGAGGGATGTGGTGGGAAGGAGAGAGAGGGAGGGATGGGTGAAGGAGAGAGGAGGGATGTGGGTGGGAAGGAGAGAGAGGGAGGGATGGTGGAAGGAGAGAGAGAGAGGGATGTGGTGGAAGGAGAGAGAGAGAGGGATGGGTGGAAGGAGAGAGAGAGAGGGATGGGTGGAAGGAGAGAGAGGGAGGGATGTGTGGAAGGAGAGAGAGGGAGGGTGTGGTGGAAGGAGAGAGAGGGGAGGATGGTGGAAGGAGAGAGAGGGAGGGATGGTGGAAGGAGAGAGAGGGAGGGATGTGGTGGAGGGAGAGAGAGAGGTAGGGGATGGTGAAGGAGAGGGAGGGAGGATGGGTGGAAGGAGAGAGAGGGATGGGGGTGGAAGGAGAGGAGAGGGGAGGGATGTGGGTGGGAAGGAGAGAGAGGGAGGGGAGGGTGGAAGGAGAGAGAGGAGGATGTGGTGGAAGGAGAGGGAGGGAGGGATGGGTGGAAGGAGAGAGAGGTAGGGATGTGGTGGGAAGGAGAGAGAGGAGGGATGGTGGGAAGGAGAGAGAGGAGGATGGGTGGGAAGGAGAGAGAGGGAGGGATGGTGGAAGGAGAGAGAGGGGATGTGGTGAAGGAGAGAGAGGGAGGGATGTGGTGGAAGGAGAGAGAGGGAGGGATGTGGTGGGAAGGAGAGAGAGGATGTGGTGGGAAGGAGAGAGAGGGGGAGGGATGTGGTGTGGAAGGAGAGAGAGGGGAGGATGTGGTGGAAGGAGAGAGAGGGGAGGGATGTGGTGGAAGGGAGAGAGAGGGAGGGATGTGGGTGGAAGGAGAGAGAGGTAGGGATGTGGTGGAAGGAGAGAGAGGTAGGGATGGTGGGAAGGAGAGAGAGAGGGATGTGGTGGAAGGAGAGAGAGAGAGGGATGTGGGGGAAGGAGAGAGAGAGAGAGGGATGTGGTGAAGGAGAGAGAGAGAGGGATGGTGGAAGGAGAGAGAGGGATGTGGTGGAAGGAGAGAGAGAGGGATGGGTGGAAGGAGAGAGAGAGAGGGATGTGGTGGAAGGAGAGAGAGAGAGGGTGGGTGGAAGGAGAGAGAGGAGTGGGGAAGGAGGAGAGAGAGAGGGATGTGGTGAAGGAGAGAGAGAGGGATGTGGTGAAGGGAGAGGAGAGAGAGAGAGGGATGTGGGTGGAAGGAGAGAGAGAGAGAGGGGATGTGGAAGGAGAGAGAGAGAGAGGGATGTGGTGGAAGGAGAGAGAGAGAGAGGGTGGGAAGGAGAGAGGAGGGGGGGATGTGGTGGAAGGAGAGAGAGAGAGAGGGTGTGAAGGAGAGAGAGAGAGAGGATGTGGTGGAAGGAGAGAGAGAGAGGGGATGTGGTGGAAGGAGAGAGAGAGAGGGATGTGGGAAGGAGAGAGAGGGGATGTGGTGGAGAGAGAGAGGGAGGGATGGGTGGAAGGAGAGAGAGGAGGAGGGATGTGGTGGAAGGAGGGTGAGGGAGGGGTGGAAGGAGAGGGGTGAAATGAGAGAGGGTGGGGTGCAAGGTGAGAAAGAGGGGTGCAAGGTGAGAGGGAGGGATGCAAGGTGAGAAGGAGGGGTTCAAGTTGATGCTTCTCCCTACACGACACATTGTGCTGTGTCTCTGTTTTTGCAGCTACATGTTGCCAAGTCAAATAAAATGAGTTATTCTACAATTCTGGACCCATAAAGAGCCCTAAGAAAAGCCTACTGAGCCCTAGCTCAATGTGATGTAAACTACGTCCGTGACCAATTAGTATATAACAAGGGATGACATAATTTACATGAGTGACCATTAAGAGGTTGATACTTAAGTTTATCAACATCAAGTGTATCATAATAACAATAGGGATTAATAGCTATGGTTTGTGAATTTGTTTTAATATTATTTAAGTATTGAACAGACCATATAGTGAGAGTAGTATGTTATCTTGGCTTATATACTGTAGTGGACACCGTTACAAATGCAGCAGATAGCAGCTCTTCCTCTGTAGTAAACATTTTCTGAAACCTGAGTGAACCGAGCTTTTTACAATGGCTTAACTGTACAGTGAGCAGGAAATTTACACAGTTCAGGTTTGTCTGAGCAAAAGTTGTGTGAGAATAGTAGACACAATGTCATAAAGTGGTTCAAATCATGAAACTAATACTGTATCATAACACATCTTAAACTCATAAAATTAAATAAAACAAAGGAAGTGGGATTAAAATAATTTTGATCTTACATTAGATATCAGTTGTCAAATTAGAAATACCATTTTCAGTGGTTTTTCTTGTCTTGAGTCAAGATCAACTTAGTGGTAATATGAACTGTAATTAGGTGTGCAGCTCTACTTTACAAGATCTACTGTATACAGAACTAACAATGTCACTTTGAAGACTATTCTCCTGTTCTTTAATCTTTTTCAAGATGCACCATACCAAAGTCCCGGCAGCAATGATCAGGACAATAAAAGCCACGATGGAGCCACAGATGATGAGGTCCTTATTAGTCTCTATTAAAGGCACCGACTTCATGTAGAAAACTTGGAGACGTTGTTTTGCAATGTTGGACACCGGGCTAAGGAAGTGACAGCATCAGTAAACACAGTCTTGTCAAAAACACACATATTATTATCACTAGACAACCACTAATAAAGGCATTCCTCTTACAGCACCGTAGATACATACTTTTAGAATGAAGCACTTTAAAAAAAGAGCTCTACAAAAACTTAAGTGTAACACTTCCAAAAGTCATGTGTTTGTGACAATGATGTCTTACCTATGAGTAATACCCTGTGTATGAGGGCTTCATTAAGAGAGTATATACTGTACAGAACTAGTACATTTTATTTATTACTGTACAGTTCATATTTAATACGATTAGAATGTTTTATTTATTACGGTACAGTATTTATTTGATTAGTACATGTTTCCGTGCTTTTCATTTCAGAATAATGAATCGGGGACGCACCCATAAATTGGGTAGGGGTGGGAGGAATTTAAAATATTTTATATTTGACCTGAGTGAGGAGCCGACATGATAAATTACAGATCACTATTGCAAATTTGGGAGTTTCAGGCACTCAAGTCTACTGTATATACAGTATAGCCTTGTGTCATTTATTTGGTAAATTTGGGTATCTTAGGCACCCTACTATAGCCATGGTGTAATTTCCACAGCAAATTTGGGCATTTCAGGCACATAAAAGTATTTGTGTCATTTTCCCGGCAAATTTTGGTGTTTTGGGCACCCAAAACTAAAGCAGTGTGTTTTAAAAATCCGAGTACAGTATACGCTGTGGAAACTGAAGATACCACACAACACCCATCCTCCCACCCCTCCCTCCTTCACCACTCTCCCTCCTGAAAGTGAAAACGAACGTGTCTATATCGTAAGGATAGTCTATATTTTTAAGAAAATGTATAGAAGGGCGATTTAAAACTTACGGGCACAGCGTAATTGACTTTAAATATCTTCAATTATTGTGAACCCAGATTCTTAATCAGCATGTAAAGTAGTACCTTTGTATGAAATTTAAACAAAATATATTTTTGACCCCAAGTGCCGAAAAATAAGGTCAGGTGTATTTTTGACATAAATTGATATTTGGACTTTATCACAAAATTTGGTTTTTAGAAAACAAAACGGCTTTTTTAAGAAATAGAAAACTAACGTGTTTATATAGTAAAGACAGTCAGGTGTCTATTGGCCAGACAAAACAAGTTCCCTGGCTTTACCAGGTGTAAATTTGAAAACTTCTGGGTACATTAATACGGTATTTATTATGACAGAATGACATAATTAGAAGTTATCAATAACATGTACAGTATATACTATTGGAAATTTTTAAGAGGATATAAATGGCCCTTTCGCGACCCACCCAAAGCCTAGTGATAAACATCGGCAAAGACCTTGACACTCCCTCCCCCTGCATATTTTTTCTCCTCGGATTTGTGACATTCACGTGGGTCGATTTGAACGTTCCCAAAATGCCAGAAATCCGGCAAAAAGTGAAAAATCACACTCCTAATCCACCTATATGACTCAGGATTAATATGTGGAATAATCTATTTAAATAAAGTCACTTAATTATAAGAACAATTCATCTCTGACAATACTCAATGCAGAATTATTAAATATAACCTGTAATATTTGGTTATCTGATCAGTAACATAAAATATGATAAGTACACAAACAATTCAGTTATTGAAGTGGACTATTTATGGTAAGATTGATGTCAAAATAACAATATCTTGAAGTTGAACTAAATTCACATAAAATTCCCAGTTTATTTGTTAAATTCCCTAGCTTCTCCGGGTTTTCCAGCCCAAAATAAAATTACCTGCCTTCCCAGGTTTTCCAGACCAGTAGACACCCTGAATAGGGAAGAATAAGGTCGTCTACCAGGGAAAAGCCTTCACAGAGCTAAAATCAACTGTGACAAACAAACACACTCACCTGGCATTACCCTCTTCATCTCTGCTGCGCAATGCAACATAATAATACTGGTAAAATTTCATTTTCTTCACACCAGTTATATTGGTAAGGACTGGTTCTCCAGCAGAGATAGTCACCAATGAGTCGGACACATTGAGAAAAATGTTGCGTTCACTTTTGTCAAATATATACTCCTTCAAGTACTGGCGGTCATCTGTCATACACAGTGCATAGCTGGACACTGTTAATAAGAAAAATAAAGGAGTTTTAGTGTAAGTATCTGTTTTTACTTTGTTAGAATGAATTCTGATTTGCCACACATCAGAAGAATACTTGCAGTAAAAAAAAATATTAGCATTTCATGGTATTTTTAGAATGTTTAATTCTTTATTTCTAAACAATAACTGAACTTGATAGGTATGAACATTAAGTGATGTATCATTCTGTTTTTCATGTTCCCATTTATAAGTGGGAAATAAACTGAATGTTATGTAGTATATAGTAAACCCTTAACAATCACGGGTTTAACTTTCACGGATTTGATTATTCACGGGTACAATCATTGTATACCTGTACCTGCTCATTATTCACGGACATGAAGTTTGGTTAATCATGGTATGTGATCACGTTTTCCCATAGTTCTGCAGCCCACAGAACGCTTGTGTTTAGTGTACACGACCATATCACACAGGATGCCGTGCATCACAGCACACTCCATCAGAGTAACACTTGTAGGTCAACTATTATTGCACTTTTTGGTGACTTTCTGTCCTTAGTGATGCCTCCTAAGTACAGTATACAATGAGTGGGGTCAATGAATTAAGTGCAAGGAGGCAGAAGAAAGTGATGACTTCAAGACAAAATATGGAGTTGCTTAATCACCTTACTAAGGGTGATAGTGCAACGGCTGTGGGACTCCATTATGGTGTTAATGAGTCAATTGTGTGCTTGAGCAGGAAAAATGAAGCAATTAACTATATTTGTGTAAGTGCCTCTGCAAGTGACCCAAAAAGTGCTAAAGTAGCTTTTCAAACCCATGACACTAGCATGTAAAAAACGAAGCAAGCCCTTAATTTGTGGACAGAGGACCAATCACAGAAAAGAGTTCCTCTCATCAGCGGGTCGGGTCGTGTTGCGTCTCTGTAACAAAGCGTGTTCAGCATTCGGGCCTTCGTTGTTGAGCGGCAGAAATTGGACAGTGATTACATAAGATGATCAAGATCGTCTTAGCGATGTGAAAGTGTAAATCAACATAGGATTTTAAATGTTAGACGCAATTGTATTTTTGAAAACTCAATCTCCACCGAGTTGGAGGTGCAGCCCAGGTCAGGAGGCCTACAACCACAAAGCTTTTATTTTATTTTTTTACGGAGTTGTGGTCATGGCTGTGATGAAGGCCAACCAGGGAGTGTAGTATACTGTGCCTTTAGTTAAATCAGTTCATAGTGTCATCAGTGACTGCAGAAGAGGCTGTAAATAACTTAAAGTGAATACGGATGGCAAGCAAACTGGTAAGGCACCACTGCCAGCTGAAACCTAGTAGTCGTGTTATAGGTGCCACAGAGACTTTAAATTTTATTGTTTGTGTGCTTTCTCATGGACTGAAAATGTGCCTATAAGACACCATTCACAGGGAGATACAGTGTACACAGTGATAGCACAATGAGATATAGTCGTTGATGAGAACGGGAAAAGAACGTAGAAGGAAATACAGGTACTAGTTAAAATAAAAGAATAAATAAAATGAACAAGCTTGGCTATCCTTAAAGGCATTCTATTACTGCCCCAAAGAAAGCTTTATTTTATTTTTCTGTGCTTCTAAAGGACTGGGTGGGTGTATAAAATCTGTTATTCACAGCAAAATGTAGTGTACATAGAGATAGCACATAAATACCGACAAATCGACAAAGTGAACTGAAAAAAAAAGAGAAGAAAAACAGAAGATAACTTTAAAGGCAACAGGGGAGGTTAAAACCAGCAGAGGGTGGCTAAGTACTGTTTTTTTTCTTTATTTTGAAATAAGTGTAGATCTAAACACAGCACCCCCACACACACACACAACAACAACTATGAGTATGATATGTGATTACTGCAGGGGGACATTGGATATGGATGATACAGGCCTGACTAATACAACGTTTAAAATGATGCAAACTGCCGTAAAGCATGAAGGCTGTTGCTGGTATTGCCCTGACTGCATAGTCAAGGTGAATGAGGCGATTGCAAGCCAGAGGGAAACGAGTTCCCTAGGGACGAAAATAGATGAAGCTGAAGCTTTGCTGGTTGCCAAACTAGAACAAGATGGGAAAGAGATCCTTGCTAAGACTGAGGAAGTAGCCGACACAATGGAGGTGGTTGCTAAGAGGAGTTATGCTGAGGTATTAGCAGGGCCACGGGAGGTGGCGGAGAGTAATGCAGGATCAGAACAGGTTCTACAGCAGCTAGGGACTCTGAAGAAGTGTGTAGAAGAAATAAAAATTAAACGAACTACTGTTAGGGGAGAGGAGGATCAACGGAAACGTTTCCAGCACAGGAACAATGTACGTAATATTTTTTGGAGTCCCTGAGAGCCAGGGGAAATGTCCTAGCGTGGATAGAAGACGTTCTACACTACCGCAAGCAGTGTAGTGTTTGTTCCATAAGCTGGAGTTGTCTTCTTGCTATTTGTCTTGTGCTACATCATAAACTTACCTTTGCCAAAGTCCAAGTCATCTCCTGGGGCAGTCCAAGAGAGGGATAAGAGGAACTCATCTGTATCAGGGTCCTGGTATAAAAACTCTACTTTCAGGTCTGTTACACGGCAGGGACTTGTTGCATCTTTACTCTCATTTGAAAAGTTGATCACCTGAACAAGAAAAACTATATATCAAATTCATAGCCAAACAATGACTACTGGAAGAGAGGATAACATTAAGTGTTGATCACCATAATGGTTGCTTTAAAACAATAATTCATCAATCATTTTTGGCTTCTGGAGCAAGTACCTGCACAGTATTACAATTCATACAAGTTGATTGGATGCTGGTTGCTAAGGAATTCACTCATCCTCTCCACCATTTGTTGCAAACTAGCTTATCAAGCAGTCCGTCTGTTCTCTGTTGCACACAAGTGATAAGTAATGAACATGCCTAAGCTCTTTAATGTACCTGAACCTTTCCCAGTATTGGCCAAACGTGAACTTTGGAATTTACAAAAGAGAGTTTAAATTAAAAAATAAAAGGGAGATTTAATATACAGTGAACCCTCACTTTACGCGGTCAATTGAACCCACGGAGGCCTGCGTAAAGCGAGAAACGTGTAAAGTGAACAACATAACATATGGGATTAAATGAAGTAGAGACCGGCTGAGCCCCAAACTCCACTTTTTCCGACACAATACCTATGTTCTAGTAAAAATAACATCTTAATTTTATGATGGTACATGCACACAATTAATACTTAAGAGAAATAGAGAAATACAGTCGCCAAGTTAATATCCATTCAAATACCGTAATGGACTCGACTCCCTCCCCCTCTTCTCACACTACACTCGCTGGCTCTTCCCTCTCTGAGAAATTTTTGGGGGAAAACCATTAGATTTTAAGGTATAGTAATAAATAATACCTCAAACTAAAGTTAGGATAATATAATTGACATTGCTGGATTCCTTGTAAGACCAGGAATATTTTGCACAAAAGATAACATATTTACTCAGAGTAAACAAAATACTTACATTAGATCTAAAATTTGTATGTCTAATGCAAAATCTATGATGTTTATATTCAAAATGATCATCAAATTGTAAGAATTCCAGCAATGTAAATTATACTCTGGCCAGGTAATTTGTATGAATTTTATGAGCTAAAACAAATATCTTCAGTTAATAAAAAAAAAAAAATATTCTTCACAACACTATCTGTCAATCAAAGTACCCCACCTTGCCTCCCCCCCTCTTCCAACCGCGCCAGATGGTCGGTCGGTCCCTCCCTACCAGAGAAATGTGTGGGAGAAACCAGAATATTTACCTTTTTAGTAATAAATAATACCTCAGACTAACGTTAGGATAATATAATTGACATTGCTGGATTCCTTGTAAGACCAGGAATATTCTGAATATAAATGTCATATATTGTGCACAAAAGATAACATATTTACTCAGAGTAAACAAAATACTTACAGTAGATCTAAAATTTGTATGTCTAATGCAAAATCTATGATGTATATATTCAAAATGATCATCAAATTGTAAGAATTCCAGCAATGTAAATTATATTCTGGCTTGATAATTTGTATGAATTTTATGAGCTAAATAAAAAAATTATACTTCACCCGCGTATATGAGTAGATGCACCGCGTAAAGTGGGAATTCCGGTTCTGGCAGGGTACCGCGTAAATGTAGAAACGCGTAAAGTGAAACCACGTAAAACGAGGGTTCACTGTATGTTTATAATCACTTCAAAGATATGTTTTGGGAGTTAGTGCAAGCCCACCCCACCAGTTAAAGAAGCTATTAGTCCGTAAGACTATTTGAACTAACTTCTTTGGAATAAGAGTTGTAATGTCTTCGAATAACCTTTCCAGAGATGTTGTGACAGCACCAAGTGTGTGCCCCTTGATGTCCAGATCTGGCCAACACCAACACATGTTTCGGTACACTCAAGAACCATATATACCCAGTAACTGACAACAGTATATAACAGAGCACATGAAACAAGATAGGGGGCTTTATCTTGATATCAACTTGATACGTTTTACTGACTTTGAGGGATCCAGTTGGCAGTTCCCTACTAAAGGGTTTGACAGTCTCTTGTTTGAATAAATCCACAGGAATCTTACTCCCACAGCAATAATCTGGAACATCTGTAAACACAAAGGAGTACTGTATACAAAAAAAAAATTCTGGATTATTATTTTTTTATGTTAATATGATGATTGAATATATTCACATAAAATCTAGGAAATTTGACTCATTCTTCAATGTTTTTCTTGAACATTCACAGATTCATCCATACTAAATTTCTTCTGGAAATTAATTACCATGTACAGTCATACCTTGGTTATAGCGCACTTGGTTATCACGCTTCCATCAAAATCTGCACACCTGCTGTTATAGCGCATTTTTCAAGCCGGGAAATTTCGTTATCACGCAGGTACCTCCAGGTGTTTTTACCTATTTGCTTCACCTACATCTATTGAGGATAAAATCTTTCACCTACAAATTGACAATAACACATTTGCTGTAATCAGACATATCTAAGTTGCCGCAACAATTGCAACCCCAGAACATACTTTTTTCTCAGAATTGAAATGTAAGGGGTTTAACTAATTAAGTACTTTCAGAATAACACACAAACCCTACAGGTAAATTACACCTTGGAAACCCATAATTGATGAGTAATTAGCATTGAAAAATGTTAGTTAAATATTTCAAGGGTCATTTTGGCCACTAATTACTCTGCAATCGAATCATGGACCACATACTCATAATCAGCAAGCTCAGGAGTACCCATACTGTGATTTTCAGCAAAATCTAATTTTTGGCCAAAAACCACCAAAAATGTAAATCTTACACCAGTGGCGTCAAACTTAATACCTTTCGAGGGCCAATTCTTATTTTAGTTACCCTCTTCAGGGCCAACACAAGTGCTATATCACATATTTGCAGGATTGAAGCTAACAGCTTCACACATTGCCTTACCTGGCTTACCAGGAATACCTCATTTGGTTTTGTCTGATCTTAAGTATGTAAAATTCATTTGACAATAAACATGATTACAGTATATCAATTTCTTTCATAATTTCACGGGATGATAAATTTTACCGTCTAAATGGTCGTAAAATGGGAAAATTGGGGTTGGGTCTTGGGTGCCTAGAACCAATTAGAATAAATCCCATACGTTCTGCTCTTTCGTTATCGCGTTTTTCGTTATCACGCACTCGGCGTGGTCCCAATTAGGCGTGATAACCAAGGGATGACTGTAATTTTCAGTTTTTTATAATCTTTTGTAAGTTTTTTGAAAAAAAAATACAGTACAGTACATGTACTGTACTTATATACACAGCATATATCATATTTTAAAGAGAATTAGTATCATATAAATATTTTAGTCTTGTTGCACACACAACTTTACAAATCTAATATACTATAGGAATAGCCGTGTGTCTGTTCTGGGCAGCCGAAACGGCACAATCGTTTTTCATCAAACTTGGTGGAAAAATCGCAAAAAAATCGTAGAGTGGAACAAACCTGGTCCCATGTCGATGGTTTCTTTAGGAAAGCATTAATTATCCATTTTATTTACGCTGGAAAACGATGCAAGTCTACGGACTTGGCGCACCCTCATTCGCTGTACGCTGTCAGCCGAAAGGCGGTTGCGCGCTAGCCAAGCATGAGCTTTCAAACTTTCACCAGGCACGAAGGGCCCGCAATTACTTGTTAAGAGTACTATAGATTAGCTACACATACTATAGATACTTCAGAGCTTAAGAATGAACTCAGTAAGCTCTGCCCAAATCCACTTTCCTTCCTCAGTTTTACAATTTGTGGAAGTTGATTAGTTAAGAAGTTTAATCTCATCACACCACCACATTGACATATTCAAATCCATTTTTCCCTCTTTTCTAATTATAATACTGCACATGCTCCAGTATATAATGGAATAATAAAAATAACAATTATAATCAAAGCTTAACAAAATAAAAATGTATAATAATTGGTTGGCAAAAGCTAAAAGAAAAAGCCAGTTCGTTCGGACGAGACTCGGAAATCGGTCCTAGTACTCAGACCTAAACATGTTGATCTGATTAGGTTGAGGCCAGGGGTAGGTTATGTTAAGTTACAATTAAGGTTCAAGGGATGTAAAGGTCTCATTTAACTCTTTTTTTATCCCTTTACCCATATAATTTGTAGGTAACCTCTCTATCTGTATACTGTACACTATATCAAAATTGTGTGTTTCTTCCTGAATTGAGAGGCACAGTGCATATGGGTACTGAGTTCATTTGCACAACTTATCACACTCTGGTACCCACTTGCCCTGGCCAAGAGTGGACGTTAAATACTCTTCAGAAGATAATGATGAAATTGAGTGCTATTTGCTAGAATTGGAGTTGACAGGCAAACCAAAAAAACTGTGTGGTGGGGATGAAGATATTGATTTTTTAAGAGAGAGACTCCCACCATAATGAGGCTGTCCAAAATATGGCCAAGTGTTATTGTCTACAATGAAGTTAGTTTAGTCACACCAACTATATTTTAGTGTTTACAGTACAGCTGCTCCTCGACTTACGACGGGGTTAGGGACCCAAATCCAGGTCGTAAGTCGAAAATGCTTAAATAATACATAGAAAATCAAAAGTGGGTGTCTCTTTTTCTTCTCAGTACCACAAAACTCTCACTTTTAAGCTTGCCAGCCATTTTAAAGTGAATTACAAACGAAAATTTTGTCAGTACACAGCGCAATCACTAACGTCGGGACTCGAAAATACGTAATTTGACAAAATTTTGGTACGACTGAGGCGGTCGTATGTCCGGGTGGTTGTAAGTCGAGTAGGTCGTAAGTCGAGGAGGAGCTGTATACAGTATGTGGATAGTGCTGATTTTTTTTATTGATTTGTTTTATTATGTTATTCTACATCATTGTAAAATATTGTAATGTACAGTACAGCTGCTCCCTGACTTAAGACGGGGTTAGGGACCGACATCCAGGTCGTAAGTCGAAATGGTCGTTCGTCGGAAATGCTTAAATAACACATAGAAAATCGAAAATGGGGGGTCTCTTTTTCTTCTCAGCACCACAAAACACTCACTTTTAAGCTTGCCAGCCATTTTAAAGTGAATTACAGATGAAATTTTTGTCTGTGTACTGACTTTGGGACTTGAAAATACGTAATTTGACCAAATTTTGGTACGACTGAGGCAGGTCGTAAGTGCGGGTGGACGTAAGTCGAGTAGGTCGTAAGTCGGGGAGTTGCTGTATTGTGTTATCTAGACAGAAACAGGATTTATACAACTTGAAAAAACATCTGGTTGAAAAGCCAAGACAGAAAACTTACAGTTCATGGCATCAGCTGATTTTCGCCTACGTTTTGTCTTGTCTTGTTTTGGCTTGATAATGTACGTGTCACCACTGCTACTTGCCTGCACACATGCGCGCACACACACACACATAAAAGAGAGAAAAATAAATTCCTGCTCAATTTAATTCTGGAGTTTTGATAGAACAAGTACAGTATTTAAAAAAAATTCGATATACTGTAGCATTAGAATAACAAATTTATAAAATAGCAATCTGCTCATCTAACCTGGAAAGAACTGTGGTCTAGCAGATAAACAATATAATTACTGTACAGTACATTATAAAGTACTGTATATATGTGTAGCACTTTAACTTGTAAAACCCGTACACCTGAAGTCTATATGTACTGCTTTTGTCATAAAACTTAGGGTATGCACTTAAAGAATTTTAGCCTGTCAGATAATTAATTATAACAGTTGATAAAGCTGCACAGTGGATCAAAACTTTGTTGTTCAGGAACTAATGAATAACAGATTATTATACAGTCAGTAGCGTACCCAGAAATTTATCAAGGAGTAGGGGGGGGGGGACTCTGAACAGAAATACTGAGGTATCGTTAAACTACAGTGATATCTCCGTTAGCTGGAACAATTGGTGCAGAGCACTTCAGGGAATGAGAGACTTCCAGGTAACAAGACGACTCTCGAAGGGGGAAAAATCCCTCATCCCCGGAATTTTCTCAGAAGTTCCAGAAGTTGCCCATTACATTATCTCTCGAACCTGGAAAAAACTCCCCTATCCCCAGAATTTTCCGAGTATTGGGAAAATGTTCCCAAAGCTTGAATTTTCCAGAAAATTCCGACCTTGGGAACGATTTCTGAGAAAATATCAATTCCACTTATCAGAGTTCCGGGTTTGAGGGATTCCGGCTACCGGAGATATTACTGTTTTTCTTCACGTTCATGAGCTTACCATTCAATTACGGTAGTGATGCTAATATTTGTATTTATTTATTTACTGTTATTATTTTTTCTTTTCCTGTTGCTAAAAATGGTTTATTTGCAATACTTTATTAGCTCAAGGGGGGGGGGAGAATGCCACCATCATCCCCCTCCCCTCCATTCAGTATGCCTATGTGTACAGTAAACTTCTCCTAAACTGGACTTCAATGATAAACCAAACGGCATCCGACCTGGCCATATCTTTTTGGGGGAAAAGTGGAAAATAATGAAATACCTTGTACCCTGAAGTAGATTCTGATTATTTTTCTTTTATCAGTTTAATTAGTTTGTGGGTTCTCAGTGATGAATCATTGTATATCTGGACTCGACCCACAATACTGGAGGTGACTAGAATATCATGCATCACACCAAATGTTGATCCTATCCCCCTGAGGCACTACCTGGGTTTATTCGGATATTTTATACACGAATTGCCATAATAGGCTCTAGAAAACTAGCAACTGATGGTGTCTGAAAAATTCACCGAGAAATGCCTTTTAAAGTAGGAAACAAAATCTGGAATACGAATGATCTAATATCCTCTATCACCAAACTTATTCGATGGGTCAGTAATTCTTGACCAATCTTAACTGAGAAAGACTGCCACAGTAACCTAACAAGGGAATGTATGCTTCACAAGACAATGTCCTATTTCTGATACCAGCAATGTGAGCCTTTATCTTTAGTCCCTTCTGTCTTTCAAAGTCAGGAATGTAAAGTGAGAGGACCAAACCTTCTCATTGGCCTTCGGTTAAGGAGCTGATTGACACAAAGTGATGAAGCACAAGTACCGGGGACCTACCAGAGCCTTGATGCTGTACCGTCCATTCTCAGAATACTTCAATAAGTACCGGCAGTAGATACCATCACCTGCTATTCTGTCAGCTGCTTGCCCATTGTCAAGCAGCTGCAATTCTTCTTTTTTTATACCATCTGGGTGAGTGATGAGTGTACTGAAAAAAAAAGTTTCCTGTTTCAAGACAATTATAATTCCATATAGTATGTAACTTAGGACAATTTGTGCTCCACTTAAAAGTAAAATGTACAGTAGCCCACAGGTTTAATTTTCCATCACTAGGTGACCTTTCCGAACATGTGGAAACACTGGAGTCACTTTATGAATGAATTGGTAACATGAAGAGAGTAGTTGCCAACAACTGCTCTCCTCACATTACTGATTCATTCATAAAGAGATTCCAACGTTGCTACATGTTCGGAAAGGCCACCTAGGGATGGAACATTAAACTGTGAGTTACTGTACAAAACAAACTTGTAGTTTTATTTAAGACTTTTATAAAGGTTTTAGAGAATTCAATGCCATTAAACAGAAGTGGAGATCTATGCTACCTGACCGAGGCATTGAGGACTGGGTAGATACCCTGTATCACCTTGGCACAAATAATGACCTTCTTATCCTTAGCTGCATCCACCACATTCCCAACGTTCACCTGTCAATGAAAATAATTATCAACTCCCTAGCAATATCATTATGATTGTATCAATATATTCAACAAAGTTGTAAAAAGTACTGGACTTGGTTACTTTAGTAAAATTATTGTTACACTGGTACAATGTTACTCAAGTAGAAGTAAAAAAGTATCTCATTCATAAAGTATTCAAGTAATGAAAGTAAAAAGTAACAACAAAATTATTTATTGTTTCAAATATTAAAATAAATCCACAGGAAATTATAAAAAAAAATAGTTAACTCTAGTTGACTGAGGATAAAAATAAGACAGCACTACACATGTTTATTTGCAAAACTTTTGATCGAGACTAATTAAGAACTGGTTCTCAAAATTATTGCTGTCCTATTGGGATCTTTTAAGCGTAACTACAAGCCCAGCATGACTAAACAGACGCTCACAAGCAGCAGATGTGAAGAAACATTTGTGATTGGTTAGCATCTAAGTTTGTCCTGTGTCCTGTAATTGGATATTTAAAACTATTGTTTGGGGCATGTAACGAGTGACAATTTTTGTTTTTTCAACTGTACTGGAGTAAAATAATTAGAATACCATACTTAAGTAGTATCAAATTTTGGTTAACAGATCCTTAAGCAGCACGTTCAGGAGTACCTATACTGAGATTTTGAACAAAATCTATTTTTTGGACGAAATTGTAAGGCTTACCCCTTACAGGATTTTTGGCCAAAAATACCTTTTCTCTCAGAACTAAAATATAATGTGCCTAACTATTTAAGTACATCCAGAATAATACAAAAGCACCAAGAAATGATCTCGAAAACCCATAAGTGGCGAGTAATTAGCATTGCAAAAGTAATTAAAATATTCTAAAAACCATTTGAACAAGTTATAATCAAGATATCAAATTTTGGTTAACAGATCCTTAAGCAGCACATTCAGGAGTACCTATACTGAAATTTTGAACAAAATCCATTTTTGGCCGAAATGACGAAAATTGTAAGTCTATAGCCTTAAAGGATTTTTGGCCAAAAATACGTTTTCTCTCTGAACTAAAATTTAATGTGCCTAACTATTTAAGTACATCCAAAATAATACACAAGCACCAAGAAATGACCTCGAAAACCCATAAGTGGCGAGTAATTAGCATTGCAAAAGTAATTAAAATATTCTAAAAATCATTTGAACATTTTCTAAAAGCCATTTGAACAAGTTATAATCAAGATATCAAATTTTGGTTAACAGATCCTTAAGCAGCACATTCAGGAGTACCTATACTGAAATTCTGAACAAAATCCATTTTTTGGCCGAAATGACGAAAATTGTAAGTCTATAGCCTTAAAGGATTTTTGGCCAAAAATACGTTTTCTCTGAACTAAAATTTAATGTGCCTAACTATTTAAGTACATCCAGAATAATACACAAGCACCAAGAAATGACCTCGAAAACCCATAAGTGGCGAGTAATTAGCATTGCAAAAGTAATTAAAATATTCTAAAAATCATTTGAACATTTTCTAAAAGCCATTTGAACAAGTTATAATCAAGATATCAAATTTTGGTTAACAGATCCTTAAGCAGCACATTCAGGAGTACCTATACTGAGATTTTGAACAAATCTATTTTTTGGACGAAATTGTAAGGCTTACCCCTTACAGGATTTTTGGCAAAAAATACCGTTTCTCTCAGAATTAAAATATAATGTGCCTAACTATTTAAGTACATCCAGAATAATACACAAGCACCAAGCAATGACCTCGAAAACCCATAAGTGGCAAGTAATTAGCATTGCAGAAGTAATTAAAATTTTCTAAAAATCACTTGAACAAGCAATAATTCAGATATCAAATTTTAGTTAACACATCCTTAAGCAGCATGTTTAGGACTACCTATACTGAGATTTTACCATCCAGAATAATACACAAGCACCAAGAAATGACCTCGAAAACCCTTAAGTGGCGAGTAATTAGCATTGCAAATGAAATGTACAATTACAGTTGTACCCCACTTAACGCGGTCAATAGAACCCAGAGGGTCCTGTGTTAAGTGAAATCTGCATTAAGTGAACAACAGAACATATGGGATTAATTCCAATAGAAACCGGCCCGACCCCCAAACTCCACTTTCTGAAGACACATACCTATGTTGTAGTAAAAATAACATCTTAATTTTATGATGGTACATGCACACAATTAATACTTAAGAGAAATAGAGAAATACAGTCGCTAAGTTAATGTCCATTCAAATAATGGACTCAACTCCCTCCCCCTCTTCTCACACTACACTGCTGGCTCTTCCCTCTCTGAGAAATTTTTGGGGGAAAACCACTAAATTTTAATAAATACACTCAAATCCAAAGTTAGGATAATACAATTGACATTGCTGGATTCCTTGTAAGACCAGGAATATTTTGAATATAAATGTCATATATTTTGCACAAAAGATAACATATGTACTTAGAGAAAACATTTTATCTAAAATTTGTATGTCTAATGCAAAATATATGATGTTTATATTCAAAATGATCACCAAATTGTAAGAATTCCAGCAATATAAATTATATTCTGGCCGGGTAATTTGTATGAATTTTATGAGCTAAAACAAATATCTTCAGTTAATGAAAAAAAATATTCTTCAGGACACGATCTGTCAATCAAAGTACCCCACCTTGCCTCCCCCCCCTCTTCCAACCGCGCGGTCAGTCCCAACCCTCCCCCCCCACCCCCCACCACTCCTCCCTTCAGGAGAAGAGTGGGTGAAAAAAATAAATTTTAACATTTTGTATTAAATAATACCTCAGATTAAAGTTAGGATAATATAATTGACATTGCTGGATTCCTTGTAAGACCAGGAATATTTTGAATAGAAATGTCATATATTTTGCACAAAAGAGAACATATTTACTTGAGAAAACATTTTATCTAAAATTTGTATGTCTAATGCAAAATATATGATGTTTATATTCAAAATGATCATCAAATTATAAGAATTCCAGCAATGTAAATTATATTCTGACTGGGTAATTTGTATGAATTTTATGAGCTAAAACAAATATCTTCAGTTAATAAAAAAAAAAATATTCTTCACGGGGTAACAGATGGTCGGTCGGTCCCTCCCTCCCCCCCACCCCCCACCAACCGTCCCAAGGAGATGTGTGGGGAAACCAGAATATTTAACTTTAGTAATAAATAATACCTCAAACTAAAGTTAGGAAAATATAATTGACATTGCTGGATTCCTTGTAAGACCAGGAATATTTTGAATATAAATGTCATATATTTTGCACAAAAGATAACATATTTACTCAAGAGAAAACATTTTATCTAAAATTTGTATGTCTAATGCAAAATATATGATGTTTATATTCAAAATGATCACCAAATTATAAGAATTCCAGCAATGTAAATTATATTCTGGCCGGGTAATTTGTATGAATTTTATGAGCTAAAACAGGCAGTCAGGCAGGGTGGCGGCTGGGGCAAATCTAAAAATAGCGTCTCGAGCCGGACACTCACCGCGTATATGTGGAAAATATCCGTGTTAAGTGAAAGTTCAGCTCTGGCGAGGCACCGCGTATATGGTAAAACGTGTTAAGTGAAACCGCGTTAGGCGGGGTAATACTGTACTAAAAAATTTGAGTACTTTTTAAAAAGTAAATACCCAGAAATGTTACTTGGGTATAGTACTTACAAAGATTTACTTTTGTATACACAGGAGAGACCCTCTGTCATTGCAATACTTCTACATTATGATGAAAAAATTGCTGTTTGACATAATCTTGTGTAAATACAAGAAATATAATATCTTGTATTGCTTCTATGTGTCTGTGATTGAAGCTGCACTAAACTTGGGTGAACTTTACATAAAACTTTTAATTTTGTTACGATTTTAACAGTTTAAATATCCCTAAAATCCTATTTTAAGATTCGCTAAATTCTGAACCATGGTGTGATGGACAAAAGACTGTGATCAGTAGAGAATGGAACTTGTAAAAATAAACATTCTAGAATGTCATAAAAAATTTTGTCACTCTGAATAAAGAAAATGTTTCAGAGGTTAAATCTTTTAAAGAATGTTAATAAACATTCAAATACTTCAAGTACATTAGTACATTGTAGTTAAAGTGTTAAAGATAGCCAAAAATTTAAAAGAAAACAAAACTAATTGAAAGGTATGTGGATTATTATTCAAACTGTGCCAGTTTTATTTTGCAATCTTAAAGTACCTATGGTTCTGAAAGACACTCGTTTAAGGGGGTCACCAAAAATTGGGCAATGCCCTTGACCATGGTTATGAACTACAAATAGACTATGCAGGGTGTGAGTATGGCAGACTACTGTACTACATAAAGTCAACAGGCATATCTGGTGAGAAATACATCATCACTGTAAAGAAGTACTGTAAATAATATAATTCTGACTAGTGACTAACCATTAAAATTAAGAGTCCATTATAACTAGGAACCATGTTACTGACCCAACCCTTGATGGTGACTGAAGAAGTGCTAAGGTCATGGGGCTGTGATGCTACTCCATAACGGACATTACAGTCTTTCTTTGGTGGCAGCTTTATGTACCACCTCCACTGACCTTCCTATGGACGAGGCAACAAATTTGGGCGTAAATGACATGATACATGGGGTAGTGATTTTTGTTTTAGATGTAGCCTTTATGCTGTCTGTCCAGATCATCCTCTGAATGTAAAACAATAAACAATACCAAAGCAAGAATAAATAAAGTTGACATATGGCATCTTTATATTTACAATTAAAATACAAGAGGAGAGTTTTTCAATACAATATAGTATACGATAGATTATATGATCTTTCAAAAGCCATCAATGAAATATTTTTTGGCAATAAACCTGTAGATTAAGTTCCAGCTATTGTTGGCTTCCCGGGTAATTGTTACAACTCAAAAAAGTTGATTGATTGCTGGTTTTAAGCAAGTCATGACACGATATCAGCAGATTTATAGTTAATATTTTTTAGGGAAATTAACTTTTTTTTTTTTTTTTACTTTTTATCCTCTTCACCAAGGATCGGTTTGTTAGCCACTTGGGCGATCGGTCATGTCCCTGCTATACACTGTTGGCAAGTACCGGACATGCACCGGCCCCTGAATTTATCTGAACCCGCTCCAGTGCTTGTTTAAGTCTGGTCTTGAAAGAGCTCACACTCGGTGCCGTCACAACACCTTCTGGCAGATTGTTCCAAGAGTTCGCAACTCTCACTCCGAAAAAGTTACCCCTCACAGTCTTCTGGACTTGCAGCTCTTCAAACTTGAGCTGTGACCCCTTGTGGGGAGAACGTCCACCAGCTCCAGGTAAGGACACTTGACCGAGTAGTGCCCTATGAGATGTTTATACTACAGTATTTATATACAGTAATTGGTTTTAAACGTCTTATAAGGCACTGTAACTCACTTACAAATCAACTTTTAAGATGTGTAACAGCTTTCCAAGGAAACTAAAGTAGGTGAAATGCACCTAACTGATTAATTGGGACTTGCGGGAAGTCTAAATTTCAGAAATATTTCTCACAGTACATGTGTAATGTGACATCCCATGATGAATGAAAGGTTGTCCAGTGATCAATTAGCTCGACATAAGTCCAAGACAAGGTAAGTGCATCCCTGCAAAATGGATGTCATGAGTTTGAGTTCTAGGTGGTCAATATCTTTGGTTTCTCTCACTGTAACACATACACAGCATGTGCTGATTAATGACTCATCAAACTGGCTCCAACTTAACTACTTATATACCTAACCATAAGGAATAGGTGACCATTCATAATACTGTGATTTTTAAGCCCTGGGAGTGGCTGATCCAGAGTGGGGGGAAAATGAACACAGTTGTCAGGGACCTGATGGCCCTATGGTCAAGTCAGAGTAAATAAAAAATAGCTTTACAGGTAGGAAGGTAAGGTTTAAGTACCTGAAGGTGTGGCAACCCTGCCTTGCCAACTAAGAAGGCACTTGGAAGTCTTACATATAATGCCCAGTTCCGACTTTGTAAAAGTGGATTAGGAATAAGAAGGCTATCCAGATGTAAAACTTGATTCAAATTTGTCTGATAGCAGCCAGGCACTATGCCATCAGATAATTATGGCTAACCCACACAAGTGTGGAAAATGACCATACAACAGTGATGACGATGATCAGGAATAGGCCCCATCAGGACTGAGTCCCATCCCAAATGGTTAAGTCTGGCTAGTTTGGACTTATCTTCTTTCCCTCCCCTTCATTCCACAACTAAACACAATTACATTTATTGAGTCAATGATTTATTGTTCTAACTTGTTCACATATCATGTGAGCTTTCAGGTAATGCAATTATCTTTGCTGTATGTCAAATGGGCTCCAACCTAACCTTAACAAACCATTAGGATTTGGACCAACTTGGACAAGAGCCCATTTGGAGTAAGCTTTGATCAAAATGGTTGAACTAATTTAGAAGTTAAATCTATTAGGAGTGAAGCCCATTTGACCCACCACCATCTTAACTTACCTCAGCTTTTGGTACAGTGATATGCCACATGAGTGTATCCGGATAAAATGTTTCCGTAACATTTTCCTCCACTTTATTACTTGGCCGAATAAGTTGTGGTTGTGTATCGTTTGTGATATAGTTTTCACAGAAAGAGTCCAAACGGAAGACGAGGTTCTTACCCATGCCCTTATCAACAGTGAATGTGCTTCCTACCGTGATTTTCTCCTGATCCGAAGAACCACTGACTTTGAGTTCCTTTGAAGTTATCTGCCCAATAATAATAATAATAATAATAATAATAATAATAACAATAATAATAATACAGTAATAACAATAATATTAATAATAATGTTGTTTTGCATTTGTCCAATGATGATATACTTTCAGTGAAATTATATAAGGATATCTAACACAAGAATTATGTTCTAAACAAGAAGCTTAGAGACAGTTAGACAATAGACCAATACATCTTTAAATTGAATACAGTAATTCTTTAAACAGTAATAAATGAGTACAGTTCAACAGCTTGCTGATAGCGTTAAGACAGCACCTGTATGACCATGTCACTGGGGTTCAGTGGTGGCTGGTACACGAGAGCTCCTCTAAGGGCATCACCCAGCATGTGCCCTTTGTCCTCGTCATTCACAGTGAAACTGCATCCTCCATTCAATTTTGCAAGCTCCTCTAACCTTGGGTCTGCTTCACGGCTAGTCATCAAGAAATTAAGAATAGCAATTAAAAAATAATAATTTGCTTCCTCTCTGAAAGGAATAAATTATCTGTTGAAGTCTTTTAAGTAATAAATGTATCACTAATCTGTGTCTTAGTACAGGACAAATCTGTGTAATACAGTTTCTTAAGGACATACAGTACAGGTATCCCTTGAGTTATGATAATCCACATTAACGTTACTTAGCTTTTAAAGCAGTCTCACGTTTTATGTTAAGTAAATACCACATTAACAATAGCTATAGGGAGGCTAAACTTGTTGACGATGATCATAATCACTAGGGAAGTGTATCTCTCCTTTTTCACTTGTCAAATCAAAGATAGCTACCATACGCAGAAACTGCTTTTCCATCCTCCCTGCAGTTCAACCACTCGTGCCCCACCTGATGGCCACCCTGTTTATCTCGTTTCTGTGCTTTGTTCCAACATGATTGCACCTGCCCTCGCTCGTGTAACCAACGTTATCATTATTATCGTTGGATAATCTTGTAATCACTGGGATTTTAGCTATTATTGGTTAGAGGAAAACACTATCCTTTAGATTTTGTTCTGTTTTGGTGACTGTTAAGTGATTCATAACACTTTCTGCCCCTGAGAAAGCCATGGCTTCAAGGAAGACTGTTTCTCTGGAGACAAAGTTAAGACATTGTTAAGCAACAGGCTTGTTAAATGTGGTGAGTGTTGCTTAATTATTTTGTACTTATTTAATTAGTGCAGGATATTGTAGCTTGTTCTGTGATATATGTCTGTGTTGGACAGGCCAAGATGTATCCCATCAAAACCCATGTTAAAAATCTCCCAATACCTGGTATATGTTCCAGGAATGCAACCCTATTGTAAATTGGCGGATGCCTGTAAATGACACATGATATCTTTGATAACAATAACCTTTCCTTCTTGTTTTGTAGAGCTATAACCCTATCTAGTAGTCTAGGGGAATTTGTCCTAACATCTTTAGGATAGCTTTTGCCTGTTGCATGGCTTTGTGTGAGAAATTAAGTGATAAAATTATACTGTACTGAAAAACTAATCTCTTAAATGCACCCAAATTTTCATGCACTCCAAAGATTGAGGAGTCCCCAAAACATTTACCCAAAAGCTATGCTGACAAGTCGAATGTTTGTTTTTTCAAACTTATTTTTATATCTACTTATGGTTCGGTTAATTCGGAGTTCTTCAATGGAACTCTCCTTGCCATCAGATAGTAGAATTATCACTTGGTTCTTAAGATTTTGAAGCACCTGTGAAAGAAATACTATGTTAATTTATTATAAATTTAATTTCAGTGTAGCTATATGTAAGGTGTTAAACTTATTGGTTAAAAAATTAATTGGTTCTATAAAAGTGAAATCTTGATAATTCATGGGTTAGATACCAGATGACATCGTGAATTATCAAATAGCAAATTATAGTTTTGTTGATTTGAATGGAAATAATGAGTTTGGATCCAGAAGCCAAGAAATACCCGTAAACTGTTCCAAAACTGCTTTAATGTATACTAAACATCATACATAATGTGGGTTACACCAACATGGAAACAATATTTGTGGTTCATCTTAGGGAAACAACCCCCATGAATATCAAGGGTTTCCTATATTGTAATATTCATTCAAAATCAAAACATTCAACACATTTACACCTTTTTGTTTATACACTGAAGAAGAAAGCCATATGTATAAGCTAAAGTGGGTGTTCTTTAAATACCAAATGGTCTATCCCTTACTGTAGTACAAGTTATAAGGCAGGAAATTATAAGTTATTGGTTTTAATAAGCAGTGATACAAAAACAATAATAATGTTGTGCTCTAGTCATGGTCACAATGACTGCTGGTCTGTTTGAAACCTGATGATTCATATTATGCTCCATGCCCTTAAAACATGTGGATAACTGGTGAGTTATCCCTGGCTTAGGTGCCGTCCATTTCTCTGACTTCCTGAAACCAACCTCTCTATAAATTAATTTGAATGTGAGAGAGAACACCATTGTTTTGAGTCAACTTAGATATGTCTGATTACAGTTAAAGCATTGTGAGTGATGTTGAAAGCTTCAACTGTCTTTATTACTAGTAACACTTGTCAAGTAAGTGAGTGTCGAGTCTGCCAGTACGAATGGCATCTCATGATGTCGTCCTTGGGGATAGCCATGAGTTTCCAATTGCTACTGAAGTTAGATTATTTTGATTCCCAAACCTCAGAGAATCTGATATTTGCAGTTCGATTATTATCAGTTGTCTATTTAAGAAAGTCATTAATCTCCTGAAAAGAACATGTCAAACTCCTTATCTCCAAGATCTCAACGTATACCCATAGAGGCTCCTTGTCTAGAAATCCCGCTGAGTTTGTAAAATTAAGGTTAACAGCGTGTGTATTTGATGCCTATTTTCACTTTTTCCTGGCAAGCTCAATTGCTGATTAAATTATAGAAATAGACATAAGAAATTCACCTGACCCATGACACTGATTTTCATAGATGAATGTACAGCGACTGAGGTGAATCGAATTTCTGTCATTTATGAGATTAGCCCTTCTGACGTGCCTGCGCAAGCCTGAGTTGCCAGATGCCCATATATAAACGAATGCACGAGGAAGACTCACACGCACGTGACTCTTCCTCAACGCATCTCCAGGTATGTGAACGATTTTTCCCGCAGCCATGTAAAGTCAGTTTAACTCGATTGAATATTGTGAATATCAGTGTTCATGTTTAAACATAGTGAAATGATTGTGTGCCAAGTATAATTAAAGTAACATAAGTATCGTTGCCAGACGTATGTTATGTATAGTTGAAGTTAACCTGTTTAACACGCTCGTGACTATTCCTCAACGCATCTCCAGGCACAGAGTGGGTGTTAGCCGAATACCCAGCAGCTACCGGGGACCAGTAGCTGCATACCAGCTAGCTGTCTTGAAGGATAACGATTGAATTGAGCGAGTCTCCCACCCTGGGAACTAAGCCCGCGGGACGAACTCCCTCTCAGTGTGTCGTACTGCAACCGACCATAACAACGCTCCTCGTTTGTTGCAGTGACACCAGTGTGACACCCTGGTGTATTCCTCACAGTTACAATATAGAGGCCAAAGTATTATTGTTGTACCTGATTGGGGATAACTAGCATGAATATAGTTATCCCATGTTGAGTATTGAACCCATGATTATGGATGTTACCAGTAATAAAGTTGTTATGGGTTGTGAGTATATTTCATATGTACTACCAACTGAGTCTAGTGCAGGTGCCATATGTAAGCCTGTCATGTGGTGTGTTCTTCTAAATGTACAACCAGTAATGATGTAAGAAGCGAGAGTATCTAATTGGAATTGCAGATGAGTAAAGCCAAGGAGTTGATCCTTGTAGTTGTATGTTAATGACATCTTTAACCAAATTGAATTTCATATTAATAAACCATTTTTAGAGTATGTTAGGGGTATCATTTTCCCTCAGTATGTGCCTTTATTCTTGTCCAATAGCTTGATACCAGAATTACAGAACCCATGTGCCCAAACCCTCACCATGCTACCACAGGTCAGAGGTTATGAAGTAACTACTATATGAAATTAAATAATTAGATAGAACAAATGGAAATAAGAAAAAGAAAGAATATAAGGAAAGAAAAGAAAGAGAAAAATAAAAACGTGCCCCCGCCCTTATACTCTGGGGATGTTTGTTTGAGTCTAGTGTGTGAACAACAGTACTCCACCTATCAAAGAAACCTGGTCACCTGTATCTACAACAGGAAAGGGGTATACTGTATCTGGGTTCAATGAATATCTCACCAAGCTTCTCTTGTCCACACTTTCTGGCCCTCTTGCCTAACATCTATTTGTTTCACTTCTAGATTCTATTAACTTAAAATGATCTCCAGAGTTTCAAAAGAAAATTACATCATTGTAGGTAAACATATGGCATTGGCTCTAAAATTGCCAACTGCTCAACACAATAAGTTGGAGAAATTTCCAGTAATGGATTGTCTTTGTAAAATAAAAGCATCATATCACGATAGATCAGGATTACTCACTGAAAGTCTGAAACAGATACTATACATAACTTACTGCTGGTGTGATCTGTTAGTGGTGAGCACAGCAACACAACCAATACAGAACAAGAACTCCATATGTTAATCCCAATCATATACAGTAGTTGCTTTGAAAGAGAATAACTTTGGGAAAAATTAACAAAGACAATGACCCCAATGCTCGTGCCTGCAGCAGTTTCATCAGCCATATAGACAGATGTTTGGGATAGAAAGGGTGTTGGTCTGTGTGTACTTGAGGCTTACAGAGGGAGTCTTGGGTCTAAAGTCAGAGGGTCTATGCTCCAATGCACAGACCTGCAGCAAGTTCTCACGCTTGACATGATTTGCTCTTAATCGTAAAATGTTTTGTCCCAACTGGGGGTTGAGACCTGTATGTAAGGTTTTACTTTTGTTGGACTTACCTTTATCGCTTCATAAAGCCCACATCCAATGCAAGTTATCCCTCTGGCTGTTAAAGGGAGAGCTTTCACAAGGGCCTCCCGAGATGACTTGCCCTCAATTTTGGTCATGTTTTTCACAAGTTTGCTAGTTCCACTGTAAGAAATAAAAACAACTTGAGAATCTTTTCAAAGGGGTATCTTAATTCATTTTGTTTCTTAAATGATGCTAAATGAATGTATCTAGATAAGGTATAATAGCCTCAGTGTATTTTGATACCATTTTTTAATGTTATTTATGTGGTTTAACTTAATCCAGTACAGTAAGGTAAATTCTTGCATCTTCAATTTTGAGGAAGGGTCGTCATATCCTCTCTCATGTAGCCCAGTAGGAGGTGGTTTCATATTTTATGGACTTTGATCTAACAGACTAACCTCTCACATATAGTCTTTAAAAATTTACTTATTACACAAAGAGTCTACATCAGTTATAATCCAAATGAAAACATAATTATGGTATGGAACTTTGTTCTTTATGAAAGAGTGCATGAAGTTTTACTTACACAACCCACACAACTAAAAAATTTCGTTTAGGAAAATACCAAATCATAACAGGAGGTACAGTACCTTCTTCAACATTATGACCCGGACATTTTGACCCCAAAAACATGGCACCTGTTAGGAATACAGAGCACAGGTATATAAGATGTATTAACATTGTGACACCTTCCATTCTTAAGTCATGCTGCCACCATACACATTAAAGAAAGTGATGGCATTAATTGTCTTCCTACCTACCTAGGTGTGTACTGTATGTTGACAATGAGCTTAGATTCTTGGGCCATTGCGAGAAGAATGTGAATCAGGCAACTAAATTATTAGGCCGTTCAGATATCTAGACGGTCCGTCCCTCTTAATGATCTTCAAGAGTGAGGTGCTTCCCCATCTGGTCCCCAAGATATGCTTGGGACTGTCAGTTGATTGAAATGTCCAAAGGAGGGCCACCAGGCTGGTGCAAGCACTTTGGCACCTCAGCTACCCTGAGAGATTAGAGCACCTGCAATTGCCTAGCTTATAGTACTACAGAGGGGCAAGGGGGAAGTAATTGAGGTGTACAAACATCTCAAAGGGCACTACTCAGTCAAGCGTCCTAACCTGAAGCTGGCGGATGCTCGCCCCACAAGGGGTCATAGCTCAAGGTTGAAGAAGCCACAAGTCCAGAAAACTGTGAGGGGTAACTTTTTCGGAGTGAGAGTTGTGAGCTCTTGGAACAATCTGCCAAAGAGTGTTGTGATGGCAGTGAGTGTGAGCTCTTTCAAGACCAGACTTGACAAGCACTGGAGCAGGTTCAGATATATTCAGGAGCCAGTGCATGCCCAGTACTTGCCAACAGTGCATAACAGAGATGTGACCGATCACCCAAGCGGCTAACAAGCCTATCAGTGGTGAAGAGGATAAAAGTAAAGTAAAAAGTATACAACCCTGTAAATGTGAGTGATAAAACTAGAGAGACTTACGAGAAAGAGACGATGGCTACTGAACTGCCTTCAGCTACTTCATGAATTAGCCAATAGATAACTGCTCTTCTCATCCTTGACAGACGGGTGACTTCATTTGAGGCTTGAAAAAATACAGTACTCAAAAATATTACTAAAGTTAAAAGTACAATTAATTAGAGGAAAAATACAAACATTAAATTAGCCTTCTTTAAAACTACTTAAATCAAAGGACACTGTACTGTACCTAATTTAATATAAGTAATCAAATAGGAAAAGCAAAAGAAGTAGTCCTAAAATAACAATACAGTATTGCTTAATGATACAATTATGTCCTAGGAATTATGCTAAAATTTAAAGAGAGAGAGAGAGAAAGAGAGAGAGAGAGGCACTTAGCCATTAACTTCTAACAAGGGTTTGTAATGGCTACAAAGATTAGCTGCAGCATGAGTACTTTAAGTGTTGGGTCAACGGGAGAGAGTTCTACACTTTTATGAAATTTTAAATGCAAGAAAGAAACTTATGTTAATTTTTTTTACTGCTACAGTGATCAGAAAAGATTCTGCTTCTAGGCAAGATGACAAGTATATAATCCTGATCTCTTCTTTCCTCCACTTATCTGCCTCTTTTTTCCCCTCTTATGTTATGGTTGTGCCCCCCTAAACACTCCCTTACCATACCATTTAAAAAAATATAGATGAGCATGAAAAATATACTGTTTAACAAAAGCATGTACACATCTCCCTTACTATTTGGTGGTGGAACAAAACACTCCCATTGCATGCTATGGATATTTACAAACCTTTATTAAATAAGAATTGCCTCATTTCACCTCTTCATTTTTTCTACTATTAACAAATGAATGTCTACATAACATTAGTCACTTCCAAGGTTAGGACTATTATAATCTATATACTGTATTAATGAAGGTGACAAAGGCAAGACATATTTAGTCATACTGGTGGTACAACTTTAGTCTCAAGATGACCTAATGTAATAATATTAAAAGCCATCATCACTATCTGACAAGGTTGCACTAGTTTACTGACTGTTTGTGCAATGTAATTAGCAAAAAAAATGTGTCTTTTCATTATGTGCAAAGAGTTACACAACTTTAAGTGCATTCAGCATGTCTTTTATAAATTACATGAAGATGGCTTTTGTATCTGCAGCATGGAGACATTACTGTAGTAAGACTGTAACATGATGTGGTAGAGAGGATTGTTACAGGATACAATACTACAGTATATACCAATTGGTTACTTAGCAAGAAAAAATTAATCTATACAGTACAAAGCACAAATACATCACCATGGCAACCAGATTTCTGTTGTAAATACAGTAAGTCCTCGCTTAACATCGTCCCGCTTAACGTTGTTTCGGTACTACGTCGCTAAACTTTAGAGACCAAAATTCGTTTTGCATCGTCACGGACTACTTTCTACGGCGCATCACCAGCTCTTGTCTGGCCACGCTACTCTTTCTCGGCTCGGCGCGCTGGCCTCACTCGCGGAACGTCACAGCGTCCCCAAGCGACGCCAAGCCAGTCTCTGTTATGATTTCACATCATTCGTGTGTGCTTAAGTGATTTTGCTCTAAAACTGTACTTTAACCATTCAAAATGGCTTCCAAGCACCCATCAAGTGCTACTGATGCTAGTGTAGTGAAGAGGCAACGTAGTGGGAACGTGCTGTGGACATAGCTGCTGTGCTTGGTCTAACCCCCACAGTGGTGTGTACTATCCGGACCAATTCTGACAAGATTAAGGTTAGTGCTGGAAGTGGTTCTTCTCTGTGTGCAACGAAGACAACTCGTACTAGAAGTACTGTGATAGAAAAAGTGGAAAAGATGCGAGCTATGTGGATGGAGGACCAGAATCAACGCAATGCGCCACCATAAGGCCAGATCCTTGTTTGACTACATAAAGGCAGAAGAGGGTGAAGGATTGAAGGAAGAGACCTTTACGGCCAGCCGAGGATGGTTTCAACGATTTAAACGCAGGTATAACTTCCATAATATTAAGATGACTGGTGAAGCTGCTACAGTAGTTCAGATATGGTTACTGCCGAGACATTCCCACCAGAATTAAAACGGATTATCCAGCAAGGAGGCTACACATTGAAGCAAGTCTTCAATGTGGATGAGACTGGTCTCTTTTGGAAGAGGATGCCTGAGAGGACCTATATCTGCTGCCGGTGACTTCAAGCTGAAGCCTATGCTGACTTCTCGCGCTGCCAACCCACAGGCCCTGAAAGGTTACTCTTAAGGATCTCCTTCCTGTGATCTACAAAGCAAATAAGAAGGCATGGATAACCAGCGCCATATTTAGCCAGTGGTTGAATGTGTACGCCGTCCCTGCACTGAAGGAATACTGTGCCAAGGAGAACCTTGACTTCAAAATTCTTTTGATCCTTGATAATGCTCCAACACATCCTCCCAATCTCGACGATTTGCATGACAGTGTAAAAGTTGTATGGACCAAGGCGTCATCGCCACAGTCAAGGCGTATTATTTACGCCGTACCATGGCCCAGCTGCTCAAGACTACAGATGGAGAAAATAAACCAACGATCTGAGAACACTGGCGTGGCTTCAACATCCTTCATGCAATTGACAACATTGGCAAGGCATGGGAAGAGGTTTCAGAAAGTTGCCTGAATGGTGTGTGGCGTAGACTGTGGCCCGAGTGCGTCAACAGTTTTACGGGATTCACGAACTTAATCCCAGCTGTGAATAGGGATATCCTCAGCTTGGCTAGACAGGCAGGCTTTGATGAGCTGGAATCAGAGGATATTGAGGACGTCCTGGCATCCCATACAGAAGAACTCACCAACGAAGATCTGCAACAACTAACAGAACACAGTTCTGTTGTTGACGACGACGATGAAGAAGAACTTCAACAAACGCTAACTTCCAAGAGGATGGCAGAATCGTTCAACATGTTCCAGCAATGCAAATCCTTATAGAGACGACCCAAGCAGAGAACGTAGCTCAAAGGTTCAACGCAGCATTGAGGACAGTCTTGGTAGTTACACCAAGATCTATAAGGAGAAGATGAGTAGCACCAAGCAGTCAACACTGGATTCGTTTTTTCGTTGTGGGACAGCAGAAGCAGCTTCTTCACAACAGCTGGCAGCCGAGGAGGAGCAAACAACAACAGAGGAGAAGCAAAAACCAACGGAGGAGGAGCAAGCAGCAGCGGAGGAACCCCAGTCAGAGCAGAAGGAGGAGGAGGCAGCAGCAGAGTCTCAGTGACTCACCACCCTCCTCCTCTCCCACCCTCCTCCGCTCCCGCCATGCTCCTCCCCTCCCACCATCCTCCTCCTTCGCTCCACTACCCACCACACACACTTGCTCTACCGCCTCCGCCCATCAGTGAGTACCAATACAAACTTGTACAGCACTGTAGTTCTATATACTGTACATATACTTTTTCTATAGAAATGGCAATGATTTTCTATATATGTAATGTTTCTCATGGGGCAAAGAGAGGCTGGGGAACATAACACACTTATTTATCTATTTCTTATGGGGAAAATTGATCGGGTCAACGTTGTTTCACATAACGAGGACTTACAGTAATGTGATGTTAAACAATTATTGAAGCCAATGTTCAATAATTCTCGAACAATACACTGTGCTTAGATAAAATAAAACATACTCTATAATTCAAAATAAGTTAGTCAACCTTGAAAATATCTACCAAATTCATCACAGTACTGCTATTTTCTTTAAGTACTTACGGAGAATTCCATCAGTAATCATGCTTTCGCTGTAGTCCAGTAGTAAGACAAAGTTTGCATCAGCCTCCTGCACTAATGTCACATTTGGTTCAGCATATTCTTTCTGGGCTTTTCTGGGGATATGAAGATAAATAGTCCAATAAATAAACAACTACTACAGGTATTGTTATGATCTGTGTGACTGTCAGTGAATGTCCACTTTCTGCTGTTTGTGAACCTTAATTTTTTTTATTCATTATTTTTGTTCAACCTCAGAATGCGACGCCTAGCATTTAACCTAGGTATGTTAATGCCTAGCAATAACTCACCAGGCCAACATACAGGCAATTAAAACATCTAATAATTACTTAATAAGTAATAGTAGGACACGTCGCTACCTGGCATTTAATTGCGATTCCCGAAACCCCTTCCTTCACCCCCCAAACCGGCTTTTTTTTTCAACTTGAAATACTGCACTTGTAAAATGTCTTACTGGATATAATAAATACAATTCTACTTTTTGAGTACAGTACAAAGAAATTCCAGAATTTTTCTTATTTTCTACCTTTAGAGAAAGAGTCATGTACACTCACGCACCATAGTTTCAATGCACCCTCTACCACTACTCCTGGCCCGAGGGAAGTCGTAGTCAGGGCTGCAAACCGAACGGTCCCTCTTGTATAGTGATGGTAAATAAAGTGCTGTGAAGTCACTAAAATACCTGTATCGCACATATACAGTATTCTCTCAAATATTACATCATGAACTGCTATTCGTACAATACAGCGAAGCTTCGAGATACCACATTGCACCACTGAACGATGGGGGGAGGGCGTTCGGTATATGATGAAAAAGTGTGCATCAGGTGGGGTGAATAAGTCGTCGCCTAGCCCACCCGATGTGCTGTTTATTAAAGATGAGAAGTATGCATTAAAAACAATTAAAAAAATTTTTTAACTTTAGTCGATAAGTGAAACTTTTGTCAACTAGTGTTTGAAGCATGAGTCACTACTTTCAATAATAATAAATAAAATATATAATATTGTTGCTAGAAAAAGTCAAAACACCAGAAATCAATCAATCAAGGAGAAACACAGTTCTAAGGCTGGCAAGTTCCTGATGTGGAGGACAGTGGGTGGGATAAAAGGGTGTATGCAGCAATTGTTTAAACCTTTCGCTGCAATTCCCACACTTGCCAATTTATGCTGGCTACCGACAGACAATTCTATTCAGCTTAGGGTAACCCCCCATAACCAAAGGGTTAAAGAGGGAGACTGGGGGTCCAAAATAATGATGAAATGCACAAAAGACACCATTATGAAGAAAGACATTATCTTCTTCATGTATATGAAGCTCTATAGCTCAGGAGAGAAGTGATACTCCCATTCATTATGCCCCTGCTGGGATACAGAGATGCCTTGCAACTCTAGAAAAAATAACTTCCAATTCAGGTATAAGAGAAAAATACCACATCAGAAGAAACTAGCACAATGCATAAAGATAGATGTACAGCACATGTTTCATATCTTAAGATGATGTGTTGAGGTGATGGCAAAATTTCTACAGTATCTGGCAGGTATTATTCCTGCAGTGGTAACAAGTAGTGGAGAAAGGCAACACCATCTTTCCACAATACAACACAATGAATAATGATTATGTATAAGTTTCTCAAGGTTTTATCAAATTGATCACTTAATTAAGCTCTAACCACTTTGGATATCCTTTGATGATGTGGAAGTGTGGTTTACTAAGCAACAGCAACCCATCAACTGCTACAGAAGTGTAATTGTTGCTAAGAAGCCAAAATTAGTCCTGCAAGTAGGTAGATCTGCCTGATTAGTATTGTATTAATAAACAAATACAGGACTCCCTTAATTTACAAAAAGGTTCCATTCATGAAAACTCATCCATAAACTAAAAATTTCCCCCCCCCTAATTCCTTTCCCCTAAAAATCAAGAACCTGTAGAACTTTCAACACATGCACTCACAAATCACCGAAGTTCAAGAAATCTGGATGGCGCAAAATGATGCTCCAAGTGGAATTGCCATGACAAAAGGTATTTTGCTTTGTTGGTGCCTCGCTGTTGTGGAAGATTCCAGTACTCTTGTCACTGCAGAACCCAACAATCTGAGGAGTAAAAACAGAGTTCTACAGACTGCCATAAATGTCTCCTGTCATCCATTTATATATGCAGGTATCTTCCGATCTACGATCTCCCTATCTACGATCTCCCTATCTACGATATTCCGCTTAAACGATGGCAGCACACATGTTGGTTGTCGTCAAAATGCATGCTGCCAAGATGCCACCCAGTGCACTACAGTCCCAAGCTTTCTTCCATGGTGATCGCATATGGCTGCGATTGTGTAACTCAATGATAATTATCGGTGTTGGTACATATCATCGATGTTGTTACATATCATCAGTTTTTTTTTTACCATACAGTGAGAGGACATTTGTATATTCACATTGTTTTGGAGGGTGTGAAGTGATTTTGGTGTTGTTGTGAAGCAGCATTGAGATGCCCCAGAGGCCGTGTGGGAGTCAGAGTGACATCTCTACTCCACCTTCACGAGTCCCATTAGTCTCAAAGGGGATGTATAATGATGACCGGACTTGTTCTTAATGATGTGGTGAACATTGTTGAATTATTTTATGTACAGTACTGTACATTATTAGTGTAAGAATTTATTTTATTTTTTCGGTCATACCTGTGGGTGTTGGGCTGTTGTGGAATGAATCCCATTGAACCCCATGTTTTAATGATTCCGATTTATGATATTTCAACTTGCGATGGGTTTTTCAGTAACCTAACCTCATCGTAAATAAAAGAATACCTGTATCTGTCACCCTTCCAGAATTAATATTGGTAATTACCCTTCTGAAAAAGGATACTACAGTATTTCCAGAAACTAGTTACTATCTTTCCAGAAATGTTATTACCCTTCTAGTAGTGTTGCTGCCTTTCAAAGCTTATTTCTGTACTACCCTTCTGGAAATATTCTTACTGTACATGACCAAAAATGCCTTTTACCCTCCATGATAAGGTTGGAAGATGATGTAGTGTACAGGGTTACTGCTCCAGCAACAGTGGTACAGGTCACACCAGCTGGGCCCAAACAACAAGTAGACATCATATTGTCCTTCATAAAGGCACTTGACCTACCTTAAGTTAATGCATAATATAAGAAGACATTTTATCTCAGAACACAAATACAGTATATTAGTCATTTGTTTGTTAATTAAGAATTGATGATAAGATTATAGTCTCTTGTATACTGGAGACAGAGTCCTTAAACAAATAAAAGAGCCCCCAGCTACAACTTGGTTAATAATAAAAAAAAAATCAGATGATACAGGCCAAACAAATGCTCCTGTTTGTAGTAATTTTCAAACTTATTTGTACATTTCCAACATGGACAGCTTTGTAACTTACCATGTCCTTGTCAACCTTTGGCGAAGAGAAAATGGAAGCATTTAGGTCTTGGCCTTTGGACATCTTAAACCGACAGTTATGGTCACGAGGTATCACATCAACACAACTTTCTCCTGTCCTCTTGTTACTGGAAATTATGGCCTTAATAGAAGTCTTTAAAATTGGCAAATGTTTGGGTAAAAATAAAATTATTAAGCATGGTAAACAGTGTTCATGAAGTGCAGTACAGTAGCCTGGAACAGAAAGGTAAAAGTTTCCTCCCAATAAGAAACGTTCAACCCTTCTCACCGACATGTCTTAATGTAATAAATGGAGGAAAGTTACATTGTGAACAAAACAGTTCCTCATATGGGAGCACAATTTACCCATGATATAGTCAAATGACTGGCACTGTGCAGGTCATTGACAAGAACTTCTATCCTACACGCCCAGACCACAAAAACCAACTGTTTCATTTGAGAATCCTACAGCTGGTAACTAAGTGGCTCAAATATCCAGACCGGGACCCAGACTACAGTATACCTATCCTGATTTAACATAACCTAATTACTGTACACTATTTTCTTTGCTTATTTTATGTTTAGGGTTTTCCTGAACATTATCTTCCTCTTATATTTAGGCTTCACAGATAAAAAAGATAATAGGTGAAAGATGAATCTATCATGCAAATATTATGGCATCTTTATGAGAATACATCACAAGCAACTACAGTCAGTAAAATCAGCACTACTACAAACATCTACGTGTGAAACACTGAAAAAATCAAACCATATTGGAACATCATGACAGCCAATCTGTTCAAAGTTTTAGTTTGTTTACCAACGTGCAACTCTTCACTCGGGGAATTTGGTGTACTTTTTTAGTTTATATTAAGAACAGCAAACTCGTCTGCTATAAGTTATATGTGTTATAAATTGTATACCTGTACACTGTTTTCAAACATACTACTCATAACAACTAAGTGGAATAATGTAAAGAGTTAGAAAACTGTGGGAATTTCATTCTAATCACATGAAGTTTCCTTGTGGCACTCCAGAAGTGCAGACAGTAGGGAGGAAGAGCTTCTCTGTGTTTGTGGTGTTAGTCTCAACATCCTCTGTGTACTCCAGGGGAAATAAATAATCATCAGGGTAACCAACTTCATCAAACACCCCCCAACGTAACTTGGACCATTCTGCCATCAGCACCTTTTCTGTACAGAAGAGAATAATACAAGCATCAATTACAAGAAATAGCTGCTCTGTTATACAGTACGGTATGCATCTTAAGGAGCAATACTCAAGTCAAAAGTATACATTTGTAATTACCTGATGGCTTCTTCACTAAATGTCACTGTCTCAAGCTTCAGGAACTACCAGCGCAGAATGCAATCAGAACTAACTTCTTAGCATTAAAAGTTCTCATCTTAAAGAATAATCAGCCAGCACATGTTGTGACAGGATTTTGACATTTTGTTTTCAGCCATAACCTACAAATATCTTCAACGTGCAGAAGATGTCAATTACAAAAGATTAGTGGAGGGGCAGCATTTGTGCATGATGCTGTTTTTATACATTTTAAATTTGTTTTATTAAGTGAGAAAAGAAGATAGTTACTCCCATGTACTGTACCTGTACATTGTGCATCCACGGTTATGAATTTTTTTTCTTATTCACCGAGATGTTTCAAAATGACCTTTGAGCAAATACTACAATAAAAGATTTCAACATCAGGCTACCAAGGTGTCCCAACTTAATTTATTTGGAATGCCACAGTGAGCATGAATGCCTATAGGATTGCCATCCATCTACTACAGTACTGTAGAGTTCTACTGATTTCATCTACAAGCCTTCCAACTTTAACAGTGTGAGTGCAGCTGCACCACCACAAATAAAAATAAATCAACATTTCCTACTGTACTTACGGTAATATAAAATTTACAAAAAAATATATAATTAAAATTCCGTAGCAGAAATTTGTTGTGGTTGGGATTCACATTCTGTAATCCAAATTTTTTGGCATACTGTACTTTAATTTGTAAATTCTATAAATGGTTTTCCATAAATTAGATGTCAGTACAGTATCTCAAAGGGTACCTCTATTTCTTCTTTAATTTAAGAACATCGTACAGTACAGGTAACCTCCACAGTGTTGTGTTGGGGCATCCAGCACATGTAATAGTTTTCCAGTATCAACCATATTAGCATACAGCTAAAAAATATGTTTAAAGACCACACAAGTTGCTCTGCGACTGCAAAATTTACCCCTACACCAGTATATTCTTCCTCGGTTTGGTAATGTACCTGGGGGTCCCCACAAATTGATGATGTTGGGGTGGGTGAGGTAGGTGGGAGTGAGGTGGATGTAGAGGCCTGGCTCACCACACTCACCAGGCTGTAGTGTGTACGGTTGGTCACCATACAAAACATTCTCCTTGGCTATCTTAATATCACTCTCCTGGGGAATATAAACCATGAATATTACTTGCTGTATTTTCACCTATCTTGTTATAAGCTTTTATCCAATATAACTCCCTATTTGTCTAATTTGGTCAAAATCTGAAATATGCTGGGAGTACTGTAAGGTATAGTTGTATTAGACCAAAAGTTGTCCAATCTGACCATGTGCCATTGCTCTCAGACTTTCTTACTTGATAATACAGTAGTTTTCAGACCACTTTTGCCACAATACGTCCACAGTCACACTGGTTCAAGTGAGCATCAATGATAAATACTCTGTTAACATATAGGGCTATTACAGCATCTTTACAACTACAATAATAATAATAATTATAATAATAATAATAATAATAATAATAATAATAATAATAATAATAATAATAATAATAATAATAATAATAATAATAATAATAATAATAATAATAATAATAATATTAATAATAATAATAAATAAATAAATAAATAAATAGACAAATAAATAAAATTATAATTGTATATTTTGTACAACTACAGTATACGTATACTGTACTGTATACAAACCTCATAACTTTCCGATTCCGCACCTACAGCATTTTCGTTGCAGTTGGTCCAAAATTTTGGGATCAAAATCTTTACATCTCCAAAAAAGACTTGCTTGTGAGTATTCTGGTAGAGTATTTCTGATGCCTTCTTTATTATTTCCTGCAATTACAAAAATATACAGTACTGTACCTGTATCATGTTACCCCTAAACTTACAGTCACCCCTTAAGCTTACTGAACTACAATACTGTACATACAATAGCAGAGAAGCTAATGGCATCATGACCACCTCTAGCTGGAGTTGGCCGTTAGGTAGATTGCGTAGAAAAATTACCGATTCATTGGATACAGTACATGGGTTATATTCAGGGGGAGGGTAGTGGAAGCAAGTGTGCCGACACAGGACACAGGGGGACGTGACCGATCGCCCAAGCGGTGAAGAAGATAAAAGTAAAATACAATACAGAGCTCAAATGCTGTACGTGCCAGATGGTGTTACTGTACAGGTATTTTTACTTTTATCCTCTTCACCACTGATCAACTCATTAGCAGCTTGGGCGATCGGGTCTCTGTTACTTTTCCTTTTCTTTTATCCTCTTCACCAAATGATTGACTCGTTAGCCGCTTGGGCGATCGGTCACGTCTCTGTTACTCACTGTTGGCAAGTACTGGGCATGCACCGGTATTGCCAATGACAAAACAAATAATGCCCTACAATTATGAATATTTGTTTAAATACAAAAGGCAAAATTACTTCCCTTTTTAGCATAACTGACAATGACAAGAATTATTTCCTTGTGATAAACTGTGCACAGTGATATAAGTGAAGTTCTTACCGTGACAGAATCAATGACGGGCTGGCAGTCACTCTCGTCCACCTCTGAGGAGATGCCTACCACAATACCCATGTAACCACTATTGGTCAGGATGACTTGTGATGCCTTTACCACTCCCACCACAACCACCACCATCCATAAGAAGCTATAGCAGCCTGCCACTCTCATCGTACCTGTAAAAATAGTTCTTTACTGGGGTATAATGCCCACTACACACAACCTCAACAGCTGTACAGTACATGTGTTATCTCCCCATTAGTTTGAAAATTAAGATATAAATAATCAAAAGCAAATTTAGATACAGTATCACTTATCGTCCTGATGAGCAACAGCAGCCTAATACTGTATGAACGTATTATCTCTTTACCAATTTCCTACACAAGCTCAGTTAAATTTAATTAAACTTATCAATTAACTTGGACAAAAATCTAGGGTAAGATAATACAGTATAATTAATAAAGACTTTTAAAAAGAACATACAGATTCAGCAAAATTGAATGATTAAATGTTAAATGGTAATACAGTACAGTATATAAATGTTAAAATCTGGGTAAAGTAGGCTATTCATTTTCAATAACTGTGTACTGTATATACAGGTATATTGTATGGTATATTATTGGTGAGTGATTCGATTTAATCACAAAATAGATAATGAACAATAATGAAATGCAAGATTACTTTAAAAAAATTAAAATTTATGTGGTTGCATAATTTTAGTTAATATTCCCCAATGAGCATATGTCCACGCTGTATCCCCTGAAGCGTCCTTACAAGTACTGTATCTGCCTCTCATATATTTTTCAGGATCTGCTTCAGAAATTACATACATCATCTCCTCATACTCCCACCTAACCCTCAAACGCAGGAAGATTGTTCGCATCCTCTCTTATGAACACTAAGGAAAAGAATTTGTTCAATGCCTTTGCCTTGTAATGGTTAGAATCTGTTTAACTACCATCTTCAAACCTCAGATCCGATATGCCTACTCGCATTTTTAATTTTGACTTTGTGTAGCGGTAAAAAGTGGCAAAAGCCTTTGGGTTTAACTTGACCTCGCTTGTAATCTGACTCTGTAACTCTTTTTCAGCCCTTCTACACTCTGACTTTGCTTGGTTCCTGGACCTGGCATAAATCCTCCTGTCCTGCTCATCATTTGTCCTAACCCCACATCCAAAAAAATCCTGAAATTTCTCCTCAACTTTGTCAACCGCTGCATGGTTCATGTGTAACGGTCACCTTGTATTCCTGGATGCACTTGGGTATATATTTATCGATCAAATGGTTAAGTTTTATTGGCTATGATATTCAGCGTAGAGGTCTGCGTTCTTATATCTTAGTGAGTCAGGCCAGTGAAAAGTCTCATATTTCGAAATTTTACCAAATAATACAATACAGTATTACGAAATTTGTAACAGATTTCATAATGACACAATACAACAAATTTGGGGAGTACAATACAGTACGAATTATGGGGGTTCTACTGTAGTGTGAACATTATCAGAAGCCAATTTAGATACAGTATCTACTTCTTATCCTCTTATTAATATCATCAGTAACTTATCAAGTTACATTTAACGAGGAACATTATCAAGTTAAATTATCTGTGTAATAACAGTATATACAGGAACCTCATTTAGACACATCTAATCTAGTAATTACGACACAGTATCCTGTATCAATTACTGTCTATAAAAACATACAGTATTGATAGTGAAAGATTAAGTTAGGAGAAAAAACTAAAATTGGTGCTTAACTACAGTGGTAAAATACAGTAAGCTTAAAGAACATGGAGACTGAAACAGACGTGAAGTACAGTACCGAATGAATTATATTATAACGACATTATGTACTCTGGGTTACAGAGCTATCATACACTACAGTGTGACGAGCACTCCAAGGCTTGTTAAATACATCAAGGAATATACGAGTATGACTTTAGTCAGCCCAGGGAGTTAGTCACGTAAGTCTGGAGTCATGTACCACACACTGGGTGAAATAGGATATGTATATCAACCTCTATGATCTGGATATATATGAAAATCAATGGGTTTTTACAAGCTGGTGGTGACATGGTTATACACCACTGATAAGCTCGTTAGCTGCTTGGGCGATCTGTCACGTCTGTCACGCACTGTTGGCAAGTACTAATCATGTACTGGCTCTCTGTTACGCACTGTTGGCAGGTACTGGGCATGCACCGGCTCCTGAATGTACCTGAACCTGCTCCAGTGTCGGTCAAGTCTTGTCTTGAAAGAATTCACACTCTGTGCCGTCACAACACTTTCTGGCAGATTGTTCCAAGAGCTCACAACTCTCACTCCGAAAAAGTTTGCCCTCAGTTTTCTGGACTTGCGGCTTCTTCAATCTTGAGCTGTGACCCCTTGTGGGGCGAGCATCCGCCAGCTCCAAGTAAGGACACTCAACTGAGTAGTGCCCCTTGAGATGCTTAGCGTATACACCTTAATTAGGTCGCCCCTTGCCCGTCTGTAGTATAAGCTAGGCAAGTTCAGGCGCTCCAATCTCTCAAGGTGCTTGAGGTGCCGAAGTGCAGGCACCAATCTGGTGGCCCTCCTTTGAACTTTTTCAACCAACTGACAGTCCCTAGCATATCTCGGGGACCGGACGGGGTGACAGTACTCCAGATGGGGAAGCACTTCACTCTTGAAGATCGTTACGAGGGACAGACCGTCTAGTTATCTGAACGACCTTCTTATAAGACCCAATAATTTATTTGCCTGATTTACCTTCTTTTAGCAATGGCCCAAGAACTTCAGCTCATTGTCAACATACACACCTTGGTCCTTCTCACATTCAGTCTCAAATAGTGCAGTTTCTTCTTCCCGTTGGGGCATATGATACGCTTCCTTACCGTTGGTACGCCCCAGGTGCATCTTCTTACACTTTGTGACATTGAATCTCAGCAGCGACTTCTTTGACCATTCTTGGAGCTCACAGAGATCCTTCTGCAGCTCTTCACAGTCCGCTTGGTTCTTGATTTCCCGAAATAACTTGGCGCCATCGGCAAACATTTGTATGGAGGAATGTACAATGTCAGGCATGTCATTTATGAACCAAACAAACAACAGCGGGCCCAATACACTGCCCTGTGGTACCCCGCTTGTGACAGGTGCAGATGATGATTTCGTGCCATTAATCACCACACACTGCTTGCGGTCATATAAAAAGTCTTCTATCCACGCTAGGACATTTCCCCGAATTCCGTACCCTTCTAGTTTGATTTTTTGCCTTTCGTGGGGTACGCTGACGAAAGCCTTTGCAAAATCTAGGTATATAGTGTCGATATTACCACCCCATTCCAGAAAATGGGTCCAAATATCCAATACCTTGAGCAATTGTGTTAAGCAGGCGCGCCCCGGCATAAAACCGTGTTGGCAATCCTTTACAAGGTTGTTTCGTAATAGCTGTTCCATCGCAGCACCTCTGATAATACTCTCAAGTACTTTACATATTATGCTGGTCAGGCTCACCGGTCTATAGTTGTTCGTGGAGTGGCGATTGCCCTTTTTGAAGATAGGACTCACATGAGCCATTTTCCAATCACTGGGGACCTTTTGTTCATCCAGGCATTTACAGAACAGGATCTTCAGGGGCTCGGCAAGCTCGTTGCACAACTCTCTTGCACTTTGGGATGCACCATGTCAAGGCTGGGACTCTTATGGACCTTTAGCTTTGACAGTACAGTATATATCTAATACCCTCTTCTGTGAACACAATGTGGGTCAGTGCTGTGTCGAACCTTCTGTCCTCAAACACAGGAAGGTTAATCGCATCCTCTCTTGTGAACACCGAGGAAAAGAAGCTGTTTAATGCCTCGGCTTTATCCTGATCAGAATCTGCGTAACTACCATCTTCAAGCCTCAGGTCTGATACTCCTACTCGCGTTTTTAATATCGTCTTTGCATAGCGGTAAAACGGCTTTGGGTTTGGCTTGACCTCGCTTGCAACCAGCCTCTGGAACTCCCTTTCAGCCCTTCTACACTCTGCCTTTGCTTGGTTTCTGGCTCTTGCATGCATCCTCCTGTCCTGCTCATCGTTTGACCCAACCCACGTCTTGAATTTCTGGGTTTTCTTCTTAACTTTGTCGACCGCCGCGTGGTTCATGTGTAGTGATCCTCTCGTATTCCTAGAGGCACTGGGTTTGGTCTTGGGTATGTATTTATCGATGAAATGGGTCACTTCACTAGCTATGATATTCAGCGTAGTGTCTGAGTTCTTGTGCCTTAATGAGTCAGGCCAGTGGATACCCCTCATCTCTTCCCTCTTCCCTCACACTACAAGCTGGTGGTGAAATGGTATACTACACCGTTGGCAACTTGTGGTGTAATGGTCAGCATGCTCGCCTCGCAAACAAGAGGATGCGGGTTCAATCCCCGGGCAGGGTAGAACTATGGGCAAGTTTCTTTATGCCATTTGCTGCTGTCTACCCAGCAGTAATTGGGAACCTGGATGTTAATTGATTTGCGGATAGTGTTCCGGGGTAATGGTTAGCCAGTGCAGTTGGCGAGTTGTCCGGTCTTCTCAGACTATTCCTTTACACTGGTTCAGGCAGTTCGCTAACTTAGGGCAACAGCTTCTACACCTTAAACAAATTCACGCCTCAGAGACTCTAGAGCCAGCTATCCTCGTAACATGAGGGGCAACAATTATTATATACTACAGGTACTGACTCACACTACAAGCTGGTGGTGATAGTGTGTACAATATATTTTCTGGGATCTCTGAGGTTGGGAAATAATATATTCCGTACTGTATATGCAGATGATTCATGTAAGCTCGGTGTTTTATCAAACAATTTTACACTTCAAGTCAATTCAGTTAAGCATGACTCAATGAAACTGTTGGAAACTTACTGGCAATTAATTTTCTCTTAACATATTTTAAGTTAAAAATTATGTCATCAGTTTTAAAGGGAAATTGAGTCAATATTTCACAAAAACAACTTCAAAGACCGATATAACCGAAGTCACTGGCCGCCAAAGTTGCCGAGTCACTGCAAAAGCGTCAGTAACGGAAACTGCAAAATTTAATAACTTTTCTGCTAAGTTGGCAAAAGAGACAAACTGTAGAGGAGAGAGCAGAGAGGTTGACTTACCCTGTTGACGTGCACACCGCCACTGGCACCA